ATGAAATTAAATGCGATTTTAATGAACCTATCACTCAGTAGAGTAAAGAAAATTACAAGTAAAAACCCAGGCGATAAAAAGTGAAGAAAACCTATGCATGACAAATAATTTGCATATGTGAAATTTTATGGCTTAGCCCTGCACTGCGTCTTCATCTACGAGTGATTCGATAAGACGAGGTTAGCGCACTAAACACACTCAATGCTTATTTAATTTCAAACTCACGAATGAATTAGTTTATCTTTGGGTTCCATCGATTAATACTGGAATAACTTGGAGAAACGTGCAGAACTAGTGACGACTGTCGATACCATATACATTTTATTAAGTTCTAACATAAACAGTGCAAAGAGTTGGGAACTGCAGTGCAAATATTGTGTGCTGACATGCAAATATTTCAGAATATATGTAAGTTGCATATCATTAATATTAAAGAATAGTAACAGGAATGAAATTATGGTTGCATTTTGATTGTAGATTCTTATCGCTACAAGTCTTCGATATTTGCTATCCGTCAAACACTTTACATGCAGAAATTGCAGGCACAACTGACAAACTCACATAAGACAAGACTTACAAGTGCAACAGATGTTATCAGTCGATTTCTGTGTCTTTTGTCATATAAATTCAATATAAATCATATATTAAACAAAATAAATTAAAAATAAAAAATTGGCAAACATTTAAGAACCCAAAAAGTCGGTGAAATAACGGTTAATTAGATACGATATCGCAAACGTGCGGAGTTTTCGCAAACCTTTTTGCTTTCAAAATTTCGGATTAAATCGAAACGAGTGGGAACTCGTATGTTGGCTTGGTGCTTGTGATTTGCGAATTTCAAAAATAATTTGCAAACGTTTACATATTATTTTAAAAGTTTAAGTTTGATTTTATGATTTTCTAGTATTTTATGCTCTATAAATTGGTAAAACACGTACGAAGTTCGCTGTCTTTGTGACACCTTGGCGACGTTAAATAGAATTGACGACATTTTATGCACGGAAGAAACTTGAGTTCAGTCGAAAATTAATTTCTTGTTAGTTAGATTGCAACTGATAAGATGGAAAAGTTGCAAATGATGCCAAATACATATTTTTTTTTAGAAATACAATCCATTTTTTTTAATTCTCCATGGTTCGGTAGCTTAGATAAGTTCTTGACATACGAGCAAGTGATTATGAATTGCGAACTGAACTAGAATTCAGGCAGGCGACATGACGGGCATAACAAAAATCCGATTTACGAGTATTTGCCAAAAATAAAAGAAACTCAAACGTTTTTTCTTCGTTTTGAAAATTGAAATCCCAAAGAGCAAAACTGATCAAAAAGTTAAAAATTGTCGCATAATGAACGTCATTAGGTGTTAGATTAGAAAGTGTGTAATATATGTTGGGCACGTACCGAGCATAGAAGGGCACTTCTTCCAAATTTGTGAGCCGGTGAGCCGTGTGCTTCAAATTTGATCACATTATCATTAAAATTTAATAAAAAGTGAATGCGTACATGTCGAGCATTCATTTTCACAAGCAATTGCTTTTGAAATGTCATTTTCATTTAGAAAGTTCGATTTTGAATTAATTTTATATGTAATAAACTTGATAATTTTAATTTATAATTTAATTAAATTAAATAAAATTTAGGCAAAGCGAAAAATTTTTTGAAAAAATGCAGTGCATTACTATAATAAATTACTTCTGTGAATTATTGTATGTATATTAGTATAATAAATATTTATGGAGAGCAAGGTGTAGTATCTCATATATAATCATAAAATTCAGAATTCAACAGTGCAGGAATTTTATAGAAAATGCAAGATAGTAGTTCAAGGGTGACTTACTGCAGTTCAAATCAAGACCAGTGATATAATAATTATTTTTGAAATTAATGTAACGTCGAAGATATATTCAGTTTTAAGATACCAAAACGGAATTTAGATAATTTTAATGA